ACCCGCCGGTGCTACCGCCTCATCTGCTGCAAGTCATACTCAATCAAGACACGTCGATGTCTTGCGATCCGAACCTGCTTCCGGAACCGAACCATGTTATGCTTAACCATCTCTATGCCTTGTCGATTAAAGACGGCGTTATGGTGCTGAGCGCTACGCATAGGTATCGGAAAAAATATGTCACCACTTTACTGTACAAGCCGATATAAGACACCACGCGAATGTTGTACCACGAAGTCACAGTACAAGAATCACGACCGTTCTTCTGTTTTTATACATTTTCGAAGTATATGATGCCAGCTTTTCCCGAAGACCGGCAGCTGTCATTCTGTGTAACGATCGGAACAGCCGGCATTTTGACTGACACGTTTTGAATGTCTGAATCGATAAAAATTTGCTTAGTTTTTATATGTCCAGAATGACCGAATGCATTTTGCTTGGTCATTGTATTTTTGACAAAAAAACGCGGATTGACTTTATTCATTTGTATTTGCCTGTGCTGTATGTTCTTGCCTGAGTCAGTACTTATTATTTCTGATAGCAAATGTTGTTTAGTTTAAACGCATAGGTTGACTTTGCTAAAACTAGCCCGTCCGTCTTATAGGTGTCTCGGTTGTGAGGGAAAATGGGATACTGTCAGCAGATACCTGTGATCGCTGCAGTAGCAATTCTGGTCTTTCAACTGTAATACACTATTTTGTAATAATCAAAACTTAAAGAGCCATGCAACAATCTTGGCCGCACTCGATCGAAACACGAGGCAAGAACATGACAGCGCAGTGCAGTCATTAAAACTTTCAGAAGCCCAATTCTCGCGGTATTTTAATAACCATCATTTCACCTGACGGTTTATACAGCGTTATCGGTCGCATTCGCTGCTCCTCGATGTTTGCTGGCATTTATGAAAGCCATAGCTCAATCGATTTTTGAATTTGTAACAGTCCCTGATGCCTGAAGCAATGCACTGCTCATTACTAATGTTTCGTGCTGCTGTCCAACTTGTAAGGTTTGTCAGTAGAGCTGTTCATATGTCTCGAGGAGCAGTGTATTGCAGCGCAGTAACGAGCCATTCAAGTGTACTTATGAGCGTATTTTTAGCTTCCGCGCCGTTTGTTTTATGTTGCTGGTTAAGGATGTCATTTATAACAATTAAATTATGCTTCGTAATTAATGTAGCTCATCAGCGCCAATGTTCTTCTGTCTCGCATGATTTTGCTTCAGTCTTCCGTGGCTGTGTAGCTCATGGACTCAGCTGAACCGAGGTCTTCAGACTTGATGCTTGCAGCCCTTTGGGTATCTGTTCATCACTGCTGAAATCCATCGGTCATCCGTTGCTTGTGCGATGTAGTTCGATTCGAGCTGCACGCAGGTCCATTTTTGTTTGCACTTTATTTCTTTCGATATTGGCACATGGGTTTGGTAACTGTCCATGCTAATCAAGCTGCTTGGCTAGAATGTCAGTTCGCCCTTCACTCTGGTCGAATGGAGTTCCAGGGAACAGCAGTCTGTGGCCTGACCTGCTTGAAGTTTTCGCCGGTGAGTCCGTACACAGCCACATCTACGGCGATTTCTGTGATATATATGCCAGCAAGTTATAGTCAATATCATTATACAGCTGCTATAACACGATGAATGCATGGCCAGCCTAAATTGTCCCAGAGCATTTACAAGCACTGGAAACCTAATGTATGGAGATGCAGTGCAAATGGGTTGGATAAATACGTATATCAACAGGTTCCCATTGTACATCTTAGTAGTATTGATTCCCCAAACATTGGTAGCAAACAAGCTTTTGAACGGAAGATAACCTCACGTGCTAATCACTTAAAAGGTCTGAACGGCGTTTGCGCGATGATACCAAAAAATAAGAACGGTATAACTTTCAGCAGTTCAAAATCATGGGAATAGGATTAATGTTGCATCCAAATTTGGGCATTCATTCGTCTCCTAGCACAAGGGATAGCCATCTACCATGATGTTTAGGGATTGTTTGTCTTACTGAAATACGATCAACACGGTTTATTTTAACACCACGTAATACAGCTGGTCTGGCTTGTAATGAACCAATGCCGACGTTTCACCAAGTATCATCTTATGGTGAAACTGGTGCTGCTTAAACAGCAAAACTGCTCTTGAGTTCCTCTGTCTCAGCAGCTTCGTGTAGAACCAGCAATAAAATTCAGGCGAGAAATTGCAATGGCATATTGTAGGAGTCAGATCACAAAATACTCTTTCAAATCCTAGACGTTATTGTATGAGGTTTCGTCGCGGTAAATTAAAAACGGTATTCAACCATCA